TTTATACCACTGAGACAGGGTCTCAAATGTATTTTCTAGATTGCCGTTTGTTAGCCTCGTGCATACTTTAGTTTTATTTTCATGAGAGTGCAGACATATGACGATGTATTAACCCTCCATTTGTATAGTCAGGCACCACATTCCTCACGGCAGTGTCTTACTACGTAGAATTTCCGAGTAGAGATTACGGCGCATATTTTACTTCCCAGTCAAGATAGGTGTAATTGTCAGTTTCTCCAATCTATTTGCAACCTTGTCCCGAATATGCCAGCAATTTGCATCACTCTGTTTTCCAATATACTGGATCTCAGATCTACTTTTTAGCTGGTGCGTTAAACTCCTGTAGCATCTCATTCACGCATGTTAAAGTTGATGTTTAAAAAAAATGCATTCTTTTGATAATTCAGTTTTACAATGCAAAGAAAACAAATACCTCTTTGAAGTTTTTGTGCTGCCCAGTGTGACCACAGGTTCCACGGCATTTACTAAATCTAGATCCCAAAGAGCAACGGTAGAAGCCATGCTTCCAACCGCTAAAAGATTGCCTTTCTTATTATCGCTTCCTGGATCAAAATGTACTGCTTCCAGACATAGTGGTGGTGCATCCAAGATGTAGTCGTGATGGACGTACCAGTCGTCATCTGCTTCATTGTATAGGTATATTTCCAACGTATATTCATTCGGAAAAAAAATGTTAATGATAATCAGTTTTGTGTGTTTTTGAGTGTTTTTCAAACTTTACGAATTTTCTTTTTCTTGCTCAAACTGGAAAATATCTCACCTTAACAACTTTTGCAACAGCAACAAGATTATCATCCGGCTTGATTTCAAAATCCTCTTTATCCTCTTCATCACTATCCACGTGATTCGTTATGTCAGGGTCTTCCATTGGCGTTGCAAACGTTGCAATTCCCACTAATGGGTCACGCCTGAAAGGAATCGACAATAAAGAATCAAAATACTCCCGAAAACTAGATGATTATACTTTTTTGAATTGTGTGAAAGTGGAAACTTTGTCAGAAAAGCATTATTTTTGAGTTTTGCTCCACACCGGACTTCGGTTGCATGTCTGAATCACTGACAACCTAAATTACACTTTCAGATACGAAAAATCCTCTAAAATATGAAAGGATGAAATTTCAAATTCTACCTCTGCTCGTTACTTTCCTCATCGTATTGGTCTAAACCGTATTTATCGAGCCCTGCTTCATCATCTGAGATATCGGGATTTGAACCACGAATACCTCGCTGAAACTGCCCAGCTCAAGGATTTGTCAAACGCTGGCAGATGTTTCGTGTTAAAAAAAGAAATGGAAATGTATTTGTCCCAAATACAGACTGTACGAGAATAGCAAATGTAAGGATTTTCTCGCAAATTGCTCGGTCACCTGTATTTATCATACTATCTCATTTCGGACATGTTGCTAAATTCCTGTGCAATTAATTTTTACGCGTTTTGTGCTGTGTAACAGTGTTACAAAACGCATGTTGTCACGGGGTTGTCTGTGTGTGTTTGTGTGTGTGTCCCACACTTTGTCCCGCACTTTCAACTCGGGAACCACAAAAGCTA